TACTTAAGAAGAATAATAAACCCATAAATTCAACTTGAATTGCAACACCAAAATCTTCAAAACGAACTTAGGAAATTAAGAATTGCTAAAGTTGCAAGCTAATCTCCCAAGTCAAGAACTAGAATAAAAATAATAAGGTCTAACCCCCAAAAACGAGGTTTACATGCCCTATTTATAGAAAACAAGTCCTAAATAAAAAAGGAAACAAAATAAGGAAAGTTTGTTACAGGCATGCGTCTTCGTTCCACGAGACTAACTCACGGACTGTCTATGGATTTACGGTCCGTGAGTCCCTTCCGTCAACCAGGACTGGAAATATTTCAACTGCCAAAAATCAGCTTCTCTGAAGCAAATGACGGAACTGCAGTACGGATCGTAGATCGATCTACGGACCGGCAATCCCCTTCCGTAGCTCCACACTTGGAATCTTAAAAAATCAGGTACTGGAACCCTCGCAGTATCAATCTACGGATCAACAGTATGGTCCGTAGATCAATCTACGGACCGTCAATGGGCACTGTGGTTCCACACTTGGTCAGATTTCCCTGATTAACCTTCCATGCCTTGGCAGCTGATCTACGACTACTATCTACGGAGCGTCAATGGACATACGGTCCGTAGATCACCTCCGTAGATGCCCTTTTTTGCATCTCTTTCAGCTGTCTCTTTAATTCTGCGCCTGAACATCTGTCCTGCAAAATATGATAAAAACACATGAAAACTAATACAAAAAGGCCCTACACACACACAACTTGTAAGTTCAATGTATTAGAAATACCGTAAACTCACGGTATATCAACAGCCTAGGGAGCCCATGGTGACATCCAAGGCCACGACTGACCTCTAGTCCATGGAGAATTGAGTGGTGAATGTTGACCTACTGGCTGTTATCCGCCACCGCAATTGTTGCCGCCTCCCATCTGACCACCACCTCCAGCCTTACCCCCACCGTCGCTACCACCCTTGCTGCCTCCATGACGACCATTATTGCTGCGATTATTATTGCGGTATTGGTTCCTCTTTCCACCATTAGTATTGCGGTGTGAAGATGAATGATTAACAATATCATGCAAGCCAGTCGACTCACAAGTAACCATAGCTGATAAGGAGCTATGTGTCGCCTTCTTAGCAAGGCCGGCCTCTTCAAGAGTGAGCATCGAATGGGCTGGATAAAATTGGGGTAAAGGATCACGTTGGCGAATGAGAGTGGCCACACCTTTGTAGGGTTTGGTGAGGCCAGAGACTAGTTGAAGAACTAGTATATTGTTGTCGACGGGAGAGCCGACATTCTTGAGTTGGTCCGACAAAGATTTAAGGTGCTGACAATAGGCAGAGACACTTGGAAAATCTTCCATGTTCACATGAGTGAAATCGTACTCAAGGGGGACGGCACGAGAGTGTTTGTTATCTTGGAATATGTCACGCATTCTATTCCAAGCCTCCATTGCTGTGGTGTCGGGCTCAAGAATCGTATGTAGAAGATCATGAGATATAGTGGCATAGATCCACTGTAGAACAGTAGCATCAAGAGTCGACCAAAGTTCTTTCTCCTTATCTGTTTTCGGCGTTTTCTCGTTGCCCTTTGCCGGATGAATAATATGGTCAAGAACTCGATGGGATCGTGCATGAATCTTAAATAGTTCCGCCCATGTGGAATACTGGATGTTCTCCATCTCAAGAACGATGGGAACATGGTTCTTGATGTTGGATACATCAAAAGCAAGGTGAAAGGACGATTTTGATTCCGATATGATGATAGAGAAGAGACAAAGAAGAGAGAGGGGGGGAGGCAGATAGTTTTGAAGAGGAAGCAGAAGGTTTTCCCCTAGAAATCTGATGCCATGAAAGAGTTTTAATCCCCTACCTTATTTCATTGATATAAATGGTTTATACACATATACAATCAATACAAAACTGTAATTAAGGAAACTAACTAGCTATAAGAGGAACTAAATATACACTTAACTAATATGATATATACAAAGAATAAGAATATCTTTATCATATATTCTAACAGATGCCCTCACGGATTATGGACCTAAGATACTTGAAACTTTATTTCAATAGCATAAAATTGGGGCATCATCTTCACACCCATCTCTTAAAAAAAAAAAAAAAACTAAAAACAAATTTATAAAAAGCTATAAAACTAAATCTCCATTTAAATTGTGCTTGAATTTACTTTATTAATTAAGATTATAAAAATTTTTACGAGTGTATTTATTTCCAAATTTAATTATAATTTTTTTCCAAGCAGGCCCTTAATAGTTAAGAAATCACAAAAACAGAGGTAAAACTAATTCTTTCACAGCAAAATGAAAATACTCATATTTTTTTTTGTAGTAATTAAATCTTATATATATATATATAAAAGAGAACCCTGGGCCCGCCTACGTGGCGCAACCACAAACCAGAATTCCTTTTTAATTTATTTATTTTCAATACTAGCCTTTCCTTTTTCATGAAAAATTGCGACTTTTATGAAAAATTGTGACTTTTAGGAAGAGTTGCGACTTTTATATCAAAGGTTGTAACTTTTATGAAAAGTTGTGACTTTTATGAAGAATTGCGACTTTTCTGAAAAATTATGACTTTTATGAAATGTTGTGACCTTTCCAAAGGATTGTAACTTTTCCAAAGACTTGTGACCTTTCCGATAAGGCACAATAAGCATTTGTTCACACTACCCATTGTTGTCTATAAATAGAGAAATTTCCTGCCACAATTATTTGTAGCTGTTTTTCCGCTGTAGGGTAGTCGAATTCAAATACATTAATTAAGCTTCTTATGAAATTTGTTTCATTCCTCAAAGTTTTCTTCCTCGTATTTCATGGAGCTTAGTGATTCATGTAATTATGATAATTTCATTTTGTTATTTTGGTGACTTTTTTTTAACTTTGTTAAAAATTTCAGCAAAGATGATTGAAAATTGATCTTCTCTTTTGTCCCTTTCTACAGGTTTCTTCGTATAAAAAAGAATATTGATTTTGATTGCAATGCTACATTACTACTATTGCACCTCTCATTCCACAACTCATAACACTGTTGAAATGATTGAATTCATTACATTTGATTCTTTAGTAAACAAAACTTTTATTTCTGTCACTATTATTTATAGGGTTTTTTTGTTATAGGGGAATCGAATTCAAATACATTAATTAAACTTCTTATGAAATGTGTTTCGTTCCTCAAAGTTTTCTTCCTCATATTTCATGAAGCTTAATATTTTACTGTAAGTCATAGTGATTCATGTATCTATTGCAATTTCTATTTGCTATTTTGGTGACTTTTTCTGAACTCTGTTAAATTTTTTAGTGAGGATGATTGAAAATTTATCTTCTCTTTTGTTCCTTTGTATAGATTTTTTCATATACTTTTTGGGAAATTTTCTTGTGGGTTGTGCTATATTTGATAGCACACAACAACAAATATGTGATAACTAATACAGAACTGATGATAAAGTTTGTGAAAAAATCAAATAGATTGCTCTCTTCCTTACCACAATTAATATATTATTTTGATTGTTTTTTCTTAGGTACACACAATTTTTATGTCATTGCACTCTTCATAAAATATTAGTATAAGCACAATTAGTCCACTTCTTTTGTCGCAAGTTGAGTAATTTGTCATATTTCTTCGTCTGTTCTTTTTGGGCATAATAAGAGATCAAGTTTTTTTTAAATAAACAAATGTCCAGAATACACTAAAACAATTTTTTTTTTTTATTCCCAATAAATATGCACATTAACGAAGAGTGCTAGAGCCTTTACCGACATTTATTAATTGTCATTAGATTCAATGCTGCTATAAACTTTAGGGACATTTATAGAGAGTATCAATTGCCTCTGAAAATACATATTTAGTAACAATTAAGCTATTAATTGTTGTTAAAGATCATTTTTACTATAGTGATAACTCTTTATTTTGATAAAAAAAATTGTTTTTTTTTTATAAAGAAGTAAGAACTCTTTGTTTTAGATTATTTCAATTAAATTTGTGAACGGTAAACTTGGATACAACCCGATAGATTATCTTTTTGAAAAATATGTTAAGCAATTTGCCTTTTTCTTCTTTATTGCTAGGAAAGTAAGGTTGTCTTTATTATTATTTGTGGATATTTGTGAGTTCAAGTGCTTACAAAATTATGCTGTGAGATTTTAATATGCTATGTGTCAAAATTTTGGTTTAGAATATCCAGTTGTGAATAGTTCCATTGAAATCAAATAAGTTGGGGCCGGTAATATGAAACCTAAGCAATAGTAATGACTACTCTGAGACGATAAGGGAAAACATTTAAGATACTAACAATTTTAAGGTCATTTTTAACATATACATGATACATCATACTTTAATAAAAACATATTGATGGAGGTTCATAAGAAAGGAACGGAAGGTCTTCCATTTAAGTTTAGTTGATTATGTTCTTGTATGGACGTGATATTCCACTTTACTTGGGAGTGTTGTTGTTCGATGCTTTTTGGTCTCTTCCTTAAATGTTGTTCTTTATAACTTTTTGAAATTTAGCAAATTTCATTACTTCTGACCAACTATTTCTATGGAGATTTTCTTAGACTTCTTTTTTATAGTTTAAATCTCTCTATGACTCCTAATTTTTCTATAACAAAAACAAAATTAAAAAATATAGCATTTAAGATTTCGGAGGAACACTTTGCCTTAACATAAAATGTTCTTGACAATATAGCGTATGTATCGAAAATATGAATATTATCGAAATTATATTTTACAAAATTACCAGAACCTTTTAATTCAAAAGTAATAAAAAGTTGGAATGAAGCAGAATTAACAGATACCTTAGGAGCTAGAATAAAATTCTTGCAACGATGGTTTATGGAACTATGTGAAAAACATAAAGTCTTTAGTGCTCGTGTTGTAGGTCGTTCTTCTGGTTTAAGTAATGATAAAATAATGAAGGAAAATTTATATATGTACCAAAGAACTCAAGATATGTTAAATCTAGAATACATCACAAATAATATTAAATAAATATTCATATTAAAACAACTATCAAAAGAATATTACAATAAGTATTATTACATTTTACCATGAAAAAAGAATATTATAATAAAATTTGGCTAGTTAATACCTTACCTACCACACTACCACCTACCATACTACCAATAATATGAATTCATCATCTACCAATTCCGCACCCTGAAAAATGGTTTAATCGTAATTTACCTAGTATTAATAAAATTGTAATCTGAAATTATTATTTCGAAGTTCTTTTTAAAAAATAATTATTAAAGCAAATCTCACAAGTTTTCATTTTTCACGTGAAGGCTTACAGATATACCATACCCTTTGTCTTCAACCCAGCCTCGAACTGTCTCGCGTCTCAAAGTGGAAGAACCCCATTGGTCAGTTTCGTAGTTTGAAAGCGATCCAATGGGACTCTATACATAAATCTACAATTCCATTTTCTCTCATATAGTATAATTTATTGATAAGAGAACCCCAATTGACCAATTTCTTGATGGGGTTCTGCTCTAATCAATTTTGTTAATCATTGATCCGAGGCTTTAGTTCTTCAGCAAGATTGAGTTTTTGGTGATTTGGGTTTCTGAAATTTCTAATGTGGATGAATTGAGAAAAAAGAGCTGATAATGGGAAGTTTTCTTTATGGTTTTGTGCTGCCATTTCTGCTCTTATCAGGTAAAGATTTGAACTTTATCCTCCTTAATAAGTATTTGTTTAAGATTCTTGGCAAAGTACCTTAGTGTTGTGTTACTCATATTACGTTGACCCAACACTGTTTCATACTTCATAGTCTTGAGGTAATATTAATATAGTGTTTTCCAGATGAGTTATCTCAATCATTAGTTGGAAGATGCTGACTTTGGAAGACTGTGATCTACCACCCAGGAATATTTAACAGTATCTGAAGTACAGTTACCCTTAGGCTTGTGAAATTTTAAGTTTACCACAGTCTGTCTGTTTGTGGTTTGGAAGTTTAAATTACTTGAGCAGTATTAGAGCATACTGTGTAGAACTTTCAAGATAATGTGTAACTTTTGCAGTAAGAAGTTACTAAAGGGTTTGCTTGGGCAGGGGTAGGAGAAGAATGGGGGTATACTGTAAGTTGCCTTACCTGTGCTTTCTGCAAAGAGGCTATTTCCATGTCTCAAACCCGTTGCTTATAGACCACCAAAGGAGCAACCTTCTGTTACCCCACAGCTCGCTTTCTTAGAAAAGAAGCTATTGAATCTTGAACATGTTAACATGTATTGCTCAAAAAGTGATGAATAAGATTTACAGACGCTCTCCTTAGTAATAAAAAAGTTAGGATCTTTCATAAGATCCTGCTCAATTGGTCACCCTAGAGCATTATAATTCTCCTAAATCCTGAATTTTAAGGCCTTGAGTTCTGAATTATTGGGCATATTGATCACATTAGATGTGTTTCTTTTTGAACGGCATTGATCAC